GGAAGGGAAGGAGGGGAAGGAAGGGAAGGAGGGGAAGGAGGGGAAGGAAGGGAAGGAAGGAAGGAAATAAATAAATAAATAACAGGGTTCTTATATACTCTCGTTTTACATGGTTTCAATTCGCACAATCATTACCAGTGGAGTACTTTACGGGCCGCGTATTTAGGCGCTAGTAGCAGCCGTGCAGCTTACAATCATGAGTGATTTGTTAGTAAGTTAGTATTAATGCCTCCAGATTGGGATAGGCTGTTGAATCAGAAGACAATCCCCTACTCTTATACGAATAATTCAACAGGTTCTTTTATGCCCCCCAGGGTTGGGAGACAGGGCCTACGGTTTTAAGTCCTTGTCCGAGAAGACTTGAAGGTCTAACCATTTGCAGATGTAATTACAAAGGTCGCACCTTCTCAGCTATACCAGCAAGAGAGCGTGTTGTAATTGCTTTGTATCGACTCGCTGACACGATATCGTACCGCTCAATTTCCAATCTATTTGGGATTGGGAAGTCAACGGCGTGTATAATTACCATGCAAGTGTGTAAGTGCATCATGGAAGTAATGTTCAAGAGTAATGTTCGAAATAGAAGATGAGATTGCTGGATTTTACGGCTTTGCAGGATTTCCCCAGGTCGTTGGGGTAGTCGATGGCTGTCATGTGCCCATAATGGCTCCCCACGAGAATAAAGAGGACTATATAAACAGAAAAAAGTTTTACTCGATTATTGTACAGGGCCTGGTCGACAGTGGTTACTTTTTCAGGGATGTCTGCATTGGTTGGCCGGGAAAGGTCCATGATGCAAGAGTTTTTAAGAACTCTTTTTTGTATGATGCATGTTCTGCCAGATCTTTCCTCCCAGTTGCCCTAAGCAAAAGAATTAATGGAGTAGTCCATTTATCATTGGTGATTCTGTATATGGTCTCACGAATTGGCTGATGCGGCCATATTATGATCGAGGCAACATAACACCATCTGAAGTTAAGTTCAACAATGCCCTGAGCAAGACAAGGGTGGTGGTAGAGAATTCTTTTGGTCGACTGAAGGGTCGCTTTAGGTGCCTAGCCAAACGTCTCGACTTGTCTGTAACCAATTCTTGTATCGCGATTAGTGCATGCTGTGTGGTCCACAATTTTTGTGAAACAATGAAAGAGGAGTTGAATGACGACTGGTTGACAGGAGTACAGATCTATGCTGACATCCCACAATGTGATAGAAATGCAAGACAAGTTCGGCAAGCTGAAATTATCAGAAATGCGATACAAGACTTCATTGCCTAGAATAACTGAGCTATAGTACAAACATTAAAAGCATTGCAACATAAATTGTACTAAATACTGCTAAATGACATATATTGACCCTATATGCTGGGGGGGGGGGACTCTCCTGAAAAGTGGGTAGGGGTATATGCTCAAAAACAAGTTATCCCTTTAAAACTCTAGCAAGCTTTAAAAAAAAATCTTTATCCTCCTGCCTTTTTCTTTCCTCCCTCTCTTCTTCTTTCCTCTCTCTCTCTCTCCCTTTCCATCTCAAAAAACACTTAAACAGTATTTTCCTGATATTCAATGAATCGGCCAAGGGATTCTTCAATCTTTAACATAACATCCTGTGTGCATGTCCTTTTCTTCTTCTTGGCCTTGTTCTCATCAGATGTCTATCATGAAAGGACAAATGAAAACATGCAATATTAATTGTTTACATTTGAAATAAAGGATTTTTACAAGCAAAATATTTTATTAAACTTCCATCTGATCACAGTTAAAATTACGGTACACGTTTCTGCGAATAAGAGACTCCACAGTTAATAAGTATTTATAATAGTCTAATGTTATCAAAAGAAGAAATGTCCATGTATTGTCTACAACCTTTTCTGTGGCTATTATGCTTATTGCAAAACAACATGAGCTTTTAAGCACCGAGTGACGACAACATTATTTACAACAATCGACACATTCAAACTTTATATCTAAATTTTAAGCATACGGTTTCGATGTAATTTACTATCATTTTACAAAACAAATGTTGTCATTTCAAACTTTTTAATATTATTAAAAGCTTCAGACATTACCTTGAACTTACCTTGCAGCTCTGAGCAGCTGTACTCTCTCTGTACTCTCGAAGGCATATTAAATTTTTCGAAAGCATTCTCGTAAAATAGCTTTTAAAAGAACTCAAAACCAAGCACGGAAAAACCTACATAATTTACCTTTCTCGTTAGCTATTTATACACTTTCTTTGAGTATTTGAATGCTATTTTAGCGAAGTTTTTTAGTTTGCATGCCTCGTATGAAAACAAATATGGTGCCGATCTATGTCACATGACATAATGTCATGTGTGCTTGTCATGTGATAATATAAAAAGAAAGAAAGAAAGGTATACAGTACAAACACTTATCACTGACTCGCTTTGCACCTTTCTTGAGCTCTAGATATTCTGCGTCAGATTGTTCTGTGCCTTCTTCATCTGCTCATTCAGCTTCACTATCGCCGTGATCGTCTTCAGCAACATCTTTAACAACTTTAGTTGAATTTAGAACCATCAACGGTCGTGTGGCTGGCTTGTCCGAGAGAACACTGTCTAGTTCCTCGAAGTAAGGAGGTTTTTTGGGGTTGCTGTGCCAGATTTCCCCTCCTGGTCTTTGTATGCTCTGTACACGGACACCAGTGTGTGTATTCGGTTTTTGCAAGCCTCAAACTCCCTATCTTCATATCCTGACGCTTTTATGTAGTTACTTATCTCTACCCATATCGACTTTTTCCTTGTACATTCTTTCAGCCTTTCCTGAATGTTCTCTCCTCCCCCACTTCTCCAACAACAAAATCGTCTCTTCCTTTTCCCACGTCCTTCCTCTCTTCCTCTCGCTCGTTGCCATCTTTGTTAGACACCTTTTAAACTTACGTCACTGAGGTAGTTTAGTTAAACGCGATTTAACCTTGTTTAACGCATACGCGCGCACAATGTGAACGAGTCAAAATTAGACCAGTTTTATCAAACAATTTTTTAAAACGTTTAAGGTTCTGGTGTGAACGGGGTATATTTAAAGACGAGGAGGTATTGGCAAAAGCAGTTCCTTTGTCAACTCGTTACAAGAATAAAATGGCGCTTAATGTATTTGAAGCATGGCGAGCTGCAAGAGAAAATAAAATTGAGGATTTGGAGAGCACGGCTTTTCAAATAAAATTGGAACATGACAATCATGACGTCATCGTATTCGAAAACTTCCGGATACGAAATGTTCTCCGTCAGTCCACACTAATACAGCTAGCCGGCGTTTTCAAATTGCTCCACTCTGGAGACCGTATTGGAAAAGTTCCGTTTTCGGTGAAGAATTGTTCCGGATTCGCCCGGACTAGTGTGGACGGAAGGCATAACCGGATAAATAAAGTTGCGGATTCAAATTTATCCGCCAACCAAGAAGACCAAAAAAGATGGTAAGTAAAGAAATTACTTATATAACGTAAATCCTCTAGATATAGTTATAGAAATTCAGACTCGCTTACTTTTAATTATTTCTTTATTATTTTAAGAGCAAAAAGCATCAGAGAAGGAACAGAAAACAGCTTTGTCCCAAAGTTCCACTACTAAGCGCAAAGGCAGAAAAGAAAGAGAAACAAAAACAAAAAAACAAAATATAGTGCACGAGCTTCAAGAAAAGCATGAAGACAAATGGTCAATTGAAGAGTACAGATTATGGGCTGAAGCCCTCGTAAGATAATACGATGTGCTGAGCTTGATAATTTTGAAATTCATATTCATTATTTCTGTTACATATATAGACTTTTTTGGTTGTTTTTGATTTACCACCAGATGACTGGAAGACAAGAAAAAGGCACTTTCAGCCAACCCAACTATCCTGTTTTTTAGAGGACAAATATCATCAAAAGAAAGAAAATCGGAATTAAGTATTGCCTTAACCGAGGCAGCCAAAATTTTCCCTCAAGGCTCCTCTAACATAGAGCAATTGCAAGTAAGTGAATTTCTCTCTCTCCCTTTTATTTATTTATTAGTTGTTTTTGTCTTATTGTTTTTACAGAAACAAAGTAAAAGAACAGAACCTTTGCAGCAAAAGAAATGCTTGGCAGATCTAAAGGAATTAAATTAAGAATTTAAGAGTGTGTCCATGATAGGACCAGGCAAAAGCAGGCAGGGGGTGCTACATGGGGGTTCGCCGATTTTGCTGAAACTTGGCACAGTTGTAGGTCTTGGCGAGTTATTTACTATCCTAGAGTATTAGTGGGATCCGTCATTTTGTTGGTGAGTTAGGGTACCCCCCCTAAAATACCCATTTTGACCCAAAAACCAATATAAATCTGCCTCATTTTTACTGAAGCAGAAAAACTTTATTATTGATTGCAGAGATGTAAAACTTTTTTCTATAAAATAGAGAGGTCAGTTAGTGTCACCAGGCAAGGAGGTGTATTTTTCTGTTAAGCCGTTGCCATGGCAACAGTATCTGTGAGACCAAAAATTGCCAAAATTGAATTTACTGTAATATCTTGTGATTCAGAGGTCAATATCTCCAATGTTCACACTGAAAACATCAAAAATGGCTGTTAGGCAATTCAACCTATGTCTTAAATTACTAAAACAAGAAAAAAATTTGCGGGCACTTGTTAACCTTAAAATATATGACGGATTTGCTCAACCCTATTTGAACAATATCACAAAATTCAATGAGATTCAAGCCAACAGGAAAACTGGTAAACATCCTCCAAAAAGCCTTAAATTGGCTTCTAATAAACAATTATAGTTTATATTTTTCTGCAATGTAAGTTATTTTCAAGGATCATCAAAATTAACTTCAAGCGGAGACTTTTGTGTAGACGTGTACTAGCACTTTTTCCTTACCCTTTATTATGATTGTGAATTGTGTTACATTTTGGATTATTCCCCGGAACAACTTACTAAACACCAGAATAGAACGTATTTTCCATGTACATGAAGGAAAAAGCGCCTGTATTTGGGGTTTAGAGCTTGAAGACTTTCTTCGTTTATAGGCAGCAGGATATTCATTATAATTATTCAGTCGAAGGGGATATTAACCGTCCAGCTTTTTAAAATAACTTGTTATAGCTTTGTTCCTTCGTTTTCAGGAATATAAGGCACAAAATTAAATTTATTTGCTCGCTTATTTTGGGAAAAAAACTTGACCATTCTAATCTAAGGGGCTGTTTATATGGAACGAGGCAGCCCGGTAAGCAGGCTAGCCCGCTTGGCCGAGATGAATTTTGGATTGCGTTTATATGGGAAAATTCAGCCCGCTTACTGGGATGAAATCAGTCATGTGATCATCCAGCCTCGTTAGCATACGAACTCGTCCCGCGAAAATCCAAAAAAAACAACATGGCGGCATGTGCAGTAGGATCAAATCCAGCCCGCTTACTGGGCTGGCTCGTTTATATGGGAATTTTTCCATCCCGCTTGCCGAGATCTCGGCACCGCCCAACCGATTTGATTTGGGTGCAGGGTGCTGCCATTAAAAAAAAATGAAATTCAATACCATTGACCAATCTGCCAATTAAAACTAAGGCAGAGCTTACTATTATTTGTATTTGTAATACAAATCATACAATCAGTAAAAGTACTTGCATGAAATAAACTTGAAAGGTGACTCTCCAAACGCGTACCAGGTACCTCCTATCTTTAGCGAGAAACTGCATTAAACCCTCTCATCTGTAGTCGCTCATTGTTAGAACAAATGCCTTGGTAAAATGAATAGTGCGAGCACGTAATCACGCATTTATGTCCATTGGTGGTAGCACGACTTAAGCGTTAAAATTTTAAGAGTTACGTAACTCTTTTCACGAAAAATACTTCTTTTATTCTATTCTTTGTTGGATTTCATTGTAATGTCAGCATACTTATAGTCGGGCACTAAACCTGAAATATCACAAACAGGCTTGGGCGTATAGAAAGGAGCAACTACTAGTACTCAAAAGGAAAATCCACTGTTTTGCAATGTCGAAAGTTTGGAGGCCGTGGGATGAGCCAGGAACTTCACAAACTACTTCGAAGAAAACAGAAAGGCGTAAGTTTCTAATGTAACTTATTGAATTACTAATGAAATCTCACGGTCTTGAAAATAAATGCAAATTTGTTCCACTTTCAGTCAAGAAAACACCGGGAACGTCCGAGACGTCAGTTATTAAAGAAGCATGGATCAATGAAAGAACTAGAGGTTGGGAAGCAGTAGCATTATGCGCCAAAGAGTTGTTTTTAAGCTCCCACCAAGTGCCACCAGAGGTTAAGACCTACTACAAGAAGTCTAAGTTAACCGCCATTGCGTCCAGGTGGCAGAGGTGCGTTAAAAGTAATGTCCATGTTGTGAATGCGGCTAAGCAAAGTAATACACGCGAAAGAGCAAGTGACGAACAAAAGAGCAAGAACGAATGTTCTATCCAGAAGAAAGACAAGGAGCCCCAAAAGCTTTCGCAGAAACCGCAGACATCGTTTTTGGATGATAGCTCATGTGACGAGAGAAATGCCGATATGCAATATGCTGACATTCAAGAATCAGAAAAAAGAAGAGATAGGGAAAGACGAAACAAGCGAAAAAGGAAAGAAAAAAAAAGCATGACGAAAAAATTGATAGCGATAGAAGTGACATCCACGAGCCACGTACCGAGAAAGCCAAACACAAGTCCACGTTGCAGAGAGAGGCTCTTGAAAAGCATTCTTTAATGTGTAATGCGGCTTTAAGTACAATGAAGAAAATGCAAGGGCTTTTCGATAAAATTGAAAATAAAATTTGAAAAGTTACAGTTGTAAAAGGAGAGAGAGCGAGAGATAAAGGAAAAAAAGTCTTGTCTAGCTACCGTTAGCATTCCTAGGAATTTTCGGAATAGTGAAAGACTGGTGTGTGTTTTAGTGTAAATGAAAATATGTCGCTTTCCAAGAGTTGTGCATTTCATATGTTTTATGAAATTCTTGTATTGACAATAAAGAATTGATCTGTGTAAAAATGGACTGGTTTTTTTTCTTAGACCATTACAATGACTTCCCCAGCTGTCTTAGTCATGCAAATATACGGTTTTCACGAGTTCACACCCGCGTAAAACGTAGGGTAAAATAATCGAACTTATGAGAAATCTCTAATAACGCCATGTGCCAGGTGTGGAGCTCTAGACTGATATGTAACATATATACTACATAGTGCTCTCTTACAACAAGTGATTGATAATTGAAAAATTAAACGAGCCTTACCTGTAAGGTGAAGTTTGATTGTGATTCTACCAAATCCAAGGTGACGCGCTGAGGGTTAACATGAGATGCACACGTGCTGCCGTGGATGCTCAGAGTTTTAAATGTTGTGGACACGATATAGAGAAAAAACGGGAGAAAAAACGGGTAAAAAGCACGGGTGGGAAAACAGAATAACTGTAAGGGAGGGCATGTTAACCCTCAGCGCGTCACCTTGGATTTGGTAGAATCACAATCAAACTTCACCTTACAGGTAAGGCTCGTTT